GCCTTATCCAGACCGATACCGGTCTGAAAAAAACTGCAATGGGCCCCAGCGTCCAATCAGTTCAGAGATTTCCTGACCGAAATTTTCGGATCGATCTCGGTCCGGATAAGTATATACGGACCAATCTCGGTCCGTATAATAAATTAATATATACAGTTTTAAGCATAATATATACGGACCGATTTCGGTCCGTATATTTTCATTGAAAATAATCATCCGTTCTTAATTTTTGTTATTTAATACTTATTTTTTTATGAAATATAATAAATATACGGACCGAAATCGGTTCGAATATAAAAATGAAATTTCTTGTTTTCTAATGGATATATACAGACCGAAGCCGGTTCGTATATATTTATTTAAATAATATTTTATTCATATTTTTTGTTATTTAATATTTATTTTTTCAGAAATAATATTCGGACCGGTTTCGGTCTGAATATTTTTGGCGCTTTTACACTGTGGATTCCCGCCAGCAATATACGGACCGATACCAGTCTGAATATGTTGATTAGTATATGTTGCCCCACCTGAATATATTTGGACCGGTATTGGTTCGAATATTTAATTTTTCAGACCGACTGTATTCGGTCTGTATATGGTCTGTCCGTATACGTCATTTTTCTAGTAGTGTGATAAGATAATTAATTAAAATAAATAGATAATAACAAAGTTAAAATTGAGAAAAAAATATTTATTTACCTTTAAAAATAAAAAAAATAACAATTAATTTGGAACAAACTCAAAATCAAAAAATGACTATTATTTTAGTAGGGGGGGAGTATCTCCTTAAATATGCATTAGTCGGCAAAACGAACTAAAAATGACTAAAAACATGAAAATACTACCAAATCAAACTGAGTTTACTACAAGAATTCCTAATATCATCAGTTCATCACCAACACCAACAACTTTTTCTTTTATTTACTTTTTTTTTTATTTTGAATTATACAATATAAGATAATTTTTTTTCATTCTTTAACTTATTTCATCTGCATGCCTATTACTCAAATTTAAAATATATTACTTACACTAAATGCACTGAGCATTCCACTTTATCTAAAATAAAAAAGTTAAGGGATGATAGACTGGTACCTACATCAAGTTTGGGGATTGATATCTAACAACAGTTTATGTTTAGGTACCAAGAAATCATTTTAAGTTTGGATAATTTGTATGATTGGCTATATACAATGCAGGATATCCCTGCATACCTCCAAAGAGAATTTTTATCAAAGCGCTCCTTTGTTTCCATGCTTAAGCCTCACGTGCCCATTTGATCTATTCAAAATTTTCAACCGCGGCTCCGCTTGTCCACTGAATTTTCGAAAGAATATTTTAATTTTGATGCATTTTCAATATCAGTATATATATGTATGTATAAATACACCCACATATTGGGACAATATTGAAAAATTTCAAAGAAAACTCACTCACATGAGTCTTATTATTATTTTTTTTCTTATCTAAAAACACGTACTGCCCTTTTTTATTTGAATATATAATTTTGTAATTTTGTGCCCTAAAGTCACGGTTAGATTCTCATCATTATGGGATTTTTAAGTCAGACTGTTGAAATTAATTGAGAAGTAGTGATTCTTTCAATCAAGGTTTTGCATGTTTTGCTTATTGAAACTGAGTTTGTCCACCAATAGGACATGGTCAGTTAGTAATTGTTTCTGTTCATTAGAACCTAAAAGAAAGGAGAAGGAGAAGGTTAAAATATCATGAATTTGAAATTGAATTTTACTAATCCAATTCATTCAGACATTCTAACAAACAGTTAGCAGGCCATTTATAGTAAACATACTACGTACTCCATTGTTTCTCCTTGGCAAACCATTTTTTTGCTTCTTGTGAGCATTTTAACGAACACTTACAGGCGTTCCTTTTCAACCGACTTATCATACTAGGCCAAAAAATTAAGGTTAAATGCTTAATTTGGTCCCTCAATTTTAAGAAATGAACATTTTTGGTCCCTCAACTATACGAAATGCACTCCGTTAGTCCTTCTATTAATTTGAGCCGTTAACCCTGCTGAGGTGGCATTTTTTATATTTTTTTTTATGATGTGGAAAGCAAAACTTAAAAAAGTGATGACATGCATACAACTTTTGCCATGTCACATGCTACCTGGCAAAAACGCACCAAATCCATCCAATGGGTCCCACATCACCACTACCAATTGCTCCTTTGGCCATCGGTTATTGTTTCTATTCTTTCCGGTGTTTTTTCCATTTTCAAGATTTTTCGGTGTTTTTTCCATTTTCAAGATTGAAGTTCGACAGAATGCAACTCGATTCATTTCTTTCCATTTTCAAGATTGAAGTTCGACAGAATCCAGTTCAATTCATTAAACTCAATTGTCCAAAAATCTCTCGCAACAACCTGCAATTTGGAAATCTATTGGCAAACAATCATATAACAGAAAAAGAAACTAGTTACCCAAAAATCCCTCACGGCAAA